CCTTTCACTTTCATTTAACTTATTAATTTTTCCATTATATTAATCATTAGTGTATTTATTTATTTTAGTCAGTGTATTATTCATAATCATTTCAATAAACTAAAAAGCATCAAATCAGAGCAAATTCTTATAATTATTTTTGCACCTGGGAACAAAATTTCCCACAGTGCATCGGTCATTGTTTGAATGCACCTCTAAGCAAAGGTATCAGTGAATAAATATTAGAGACACTTATATGCCCAAATCAGGGCAGATGCAAAGCGGATAGTTTTCGCACTAGGAGCCTGAGTGAAAATGAAACCTTTAGCAAAATGCTTCTAAAGTTCATTGTAAATTTGTCTCATTCAAGATGGGAACTGGCATTATCATTTCCATAATCGTTATTTGCGACCGATATGCTAACGGAACTTGCCCTTCTTAACCCTTCTCCTGCTTCTTATTATACGAGGATAAGGTGAAAAGTTATCGGGTTGGCAAACATCGCGCTCCAGTCATTGAAAATCTCTAATCCCTGCATGGGTGCACGCGTCGTTTTTTCGTATCACATGTGTTAAATCGTTCTATCCAGTAGTTTGTCTGCACGAATTTTTGAAGTAAACGTCTTGCAAAGGTTTTCATAAAATGGCTAAACTGGAATATCATGCTCTTTCATGTTGTTCTCTAAGGAAATCTCTATGTCTTCGAGGTCAACAAAACTGTTAGAGGTGAAGAACAGCGAAGGACAGCAGTGGTGGCCGCAGTAGTAGACTCATCGGTCTCCTGATCAGTCGCCGTGCGCTGTGTGGGTCCCGTCCCAGGAGAAATTTTTCTCTTGGCTATGGATGTTGTGATTGTCCGTAGGTGGTAGACGGTCTCTGACTGTCGAACGCGGAGGTACTACCCGGCGGATCTCGTAGGCGGAGCCAGAATGTGTGCATGTTGCATGCACACGTGTTCCCTCGCCAGAGTCCGTGTGGCGTTCCCCCTTTCCCATGTATCCCCCTATAGCCCCAGGGTACCCAATGCGTGCTTAGGCCTTCGTGGTAGTTGGAGTATAAAAAAACACATCGAAAAGGTCCACGCTACCGTGTTGACGATAGGCATTTGAAGTTGAGTGAGATAGCTGAGGATTTGGGGTACGACTTTTTCGACGAGCCCCCTCTTATCTTGAAGAAGCATGAATATTTTGACAGTTTTTTAGATTTCCACTCCTGAGAAGGAATCCTGATTTTGGCGAAACATTCGACCAAGTGCGTTCGAGCTGAAGGTGATTCAGTAAAAATATATCTTTCATTATCAGGCCGAGAACTTTTCACTCTTCCCTCGTAGCTTAGTTGGTATTTAAGCGTCGAGAATTGTCAGACACTCCCGCTTCTTTGTTTCTAAGAATCACGTAGGAAATATTTTCCTCAGTTGTATTGATTTCAGTCAGGTTTGAGCTCGTATCAACAATATTTCTTGGGTTCATTATATGAATCGAAGTATCTAGACACTACCTTTGTAATTGAGTCAGTATAAAACACAACCGCAAAGGCACGTATATAAAGAAATAAGCGGTAGAATATTTATCCTTATTCAAATTCTTTTCATACAGCAGAACCAACTTAATGTCTTATTTCCCCTAAGAATCTCTTCAGAAATGAATGAGTTTTGTTTTTTCAATGTTTATTTTCTTTTGATTCACGAAAGTGGCTATAAGAAGGCTGATCAGGTAAATAAAATGTCTATTGCAAACAAACGGCAGACGAGTAGACCAAGTTAGTTTTATCAGGTATTTTCAACGCAAACACTGCCTGTTTAGATAAAAGTACTTGCCCAGTTTCAATGTATTCTTTTATTTAGGTATAAAAAAATATGTGACTTGACTGATGTACTATCTATTATAACTGTGCCCTGACAAATCTGAGATATCAAAAAAATTGTAAAACTTGATATTGATGATTGATATTTTCAGTTCCAAATAAGAACCTCCAAATTTATAATTTTTACAAAATTTCATAATTTTCATTTTCATTGATTATGAATTTATGTCGTATTTATTTATATATGTGAATGCGTTACTGTTTTATTATTAGAAATTTATGTAAAATTTTCGTACACATAATCAAGTGGCCTTATTCAGTTTGAGGTTTCCCTTTCCCTTCTTTCTGAACTAAACGGTGATTTTTTGAGAGGTATAGGATTTGATTTTCAAAAAAAAAACACAAAAAATTTGAAAAAACGATTAAATCTTTATGTGAGTCGATAGAACGGTCGATATAATTTAATGTTTAAAGATTATTTCATGTAAATGTTGGCCGCGGCTCCGCTTTAGATGGCCCATGCGCAAGGTCCAATTTTGGCACACTCTCTCCAACATATCGGCCGGTATCTCACGAATAAATGCTTCAATATTGGCTTCCAGTGCGTCAATCGTTGCTGGTTTATCCCTGTAGACATTAGCCTTAACATGGCCCTACAAGAAACAGTCCAACGGCGTTAAATCACACGATCTAGGCGGCCAATTGACGGGCCCCAAACGTGAGATAAACTGTTCACCGAACTCGCCTCTCAATAGGGCCATTGATTCGTGTGCGGTGTGGCATGTGGCACCGTCTTGTTGAAACCACATGTCAGCCAAGTCCAGCTCTTCCATTTTGGGCAAAAAAGTTTGTTACCATCGCATGGTATCGCTCGCCATTCACAGTTACGTTCCGGCCATTGTCGTCTTTGAAGAAGTACGGCCCGATGATGCCACCGGCCCATAATCCACACCAAACATTGATTTTTTCGGGATGCATTGGTAGCTCTTGCAATGCTTCTGGCTGGTCTTCACTCCAGATGCGGCAATTTTGCTTGTTAACGTACCCATTCAACCAGAAATGAGCTTCGTCGCTGAACACAATTTTTCGATAAAAATGTGGATCTTTCTCCAACTTTGCCAGCGCCCATTCACCAAATTGGAAACGTTGTGGGAGGTCGTGTGGCTTCAATTCTTGCACCAGCTGTATCTTATAAGGTTTTACACCCAAATCCTGTCGCAAAATTTTCCACGTAGTGGAGTAACAGAGCCCAATTGCTGCGAACGGCGGCGAATCGACATTTCACGGTCATCACTAACACTGGCGGATACAGCCGCAATATTTTATTCAGTCCTCACTGTACGTCTGCGTGTTGGTAGTTTAATGTCCAATAATGTAAACTGGGTTCGAAATTTAGTCACAAGCTTCCGAATAGCTCCCTCAGTAGGGCGTCCAAATTGCCCATAAATTGGACGCAGTGCTGGATGTACTCTCTTAACCAAGCATGACTTCTGATAGTAAAATTCAATAATTTGCAAGCGTTGTTCGTTCGTAAGTCGATTCATGGTTAAATTATAGACCAAACTGAACAGGTTTGACAATGACACAAGACACGATTCACGTGTCATCTGTCAAAAACAACGTTGCCAAAAAGATAATAGCAATAAAATCACCCATTAAAAACAAAGAATTGCTTCTAGCGAATAATTGCATAATTTAACACGTTTCTGGACAAATAGACAAATTAGTTGATAAAATTCATTCTCATATATAGGCATTCACAATCAATGGAAAATAAAAAATATCGAACGTCGTTAGGATTATAAAATGCGGTAGTTCTTATTTTGATTCAAAAACATCAACTATCAATATCAATTTTCGAAATTTTTTGATATCTATAAGATTTGTCAGATGACAGTTATAGATTATACTCAGTAGAATGCAATTTTTTCCTTTGAATTCCAAATATTTTTTAAACATCCTCTTAAATCTAGGTTAAACAGTTCAGTAATACTAAGCACACACTTTTACCTGAACCAACTAAGCAAATTTAATAAATATAACATAATTTGTTTTACTTGCAGCAGGTAAACGTTGTAAACAAAATTTTAATAGTTCATCAATTTTAAATAAATTGGTGTAATAAATCTAAGTAAACGGTTTAGCAAATTTAATCAAACAATTGCTTTTTGGCTTTTTGGTATAACTTCAAGTAGGTATACTGTTTCAGAAATAAGATTTTCATCAAACTAATTGAACTTGTTAGCTATCACATGGTTAATTGAATTTTTTAATTGTACTAATTAAAATTTTAATTGGTTTAGTTAATTATTTTACTCAGTGCGCGTCTTATCGAGTCCGCGATTTAAATAAACTGTTGAATAGCTTTTATTAAACGTTTGGTTGTTTTAAACGTTTCTTATCTACATAAATTATCTAAACTATTTAAATAGTTTGATAAGACATGTACATAGTTTGCAATTTCCAAGCAAATCGGTTTCATAGTGTAATACGTTCAATTAAACAGGTTCCTGAAAATTAAACCGAGTAATTTAGTCACTAGAAACAATCAAAAGATTCATTACGGGAAATATTTCAATGATTGACGCATTGTAGTTTCTCACTCGCAAAAATCCATGGAATTAGCTGTATTTGTCCTTATTCTCTGCAACCACCATCAACCATATACAACCTTTTCACATATTATACAGTCGGTCCCTTTGATCTTCGTGTCCCCAACTGCTTACCACATTTTCCGCTTATGTTCATTAGCGTCCGGAGGATTTTCTCCTAGGGGTTGTTACGCGTTATTAGCCTGGCGTCACGAATGTCATATGTCAAGCGACAGGATGAAGAAATTTGAGTTTATTATTTCCCTAAATGCACTTAGGCTAGATAAAACTGTTGTGGTCACGTGTCAAAACGTTCCGCACATTTACGCACATCACTATAGTTGATCGGTAGATCCATATTTGCTGGCTTTTTTCTCTCTTCAAATGACTAGACCTGTACCGTACTGATGATTGCTAAGAAGCAAGAAACGACGTTGTATACAGTTGGTCATGGTGACAGTGATGAAGAATAACCAGATCATATTTAACCTAACCCTCCAGTGTTGGTAGACGAACTCAACATTGTCTATGACGACGTATCCTTAGATGTATTATTAAGACGAAGATTGTGGGAAGACAAACAATTAGAATTTTGTCAGAGGTATCACTTAGCTTTAACACCTGACTAATTCTCACTGCTAGCGGCCAACCGGGTTCATTCGAGAGTGAATTGTCGGCCAAGCTGATATAACGGTACCAGAATGGAACTGCCGCATGGTACTGGTATTACGTAGTAAGCACGCACCGCCAGCACAGGTTCATTTAGTAATCGAACGGATGCGTTTTCAAAATGGTGAAGAGAAATGTTATACTTGCTGCATATAGTGACCAAAACTGATGGAAGAACTGAATTGTAAGTACGAAACATCTAGAACTGGTATTCAACAAACTAGAACCATCAAACATTGGTATATTTTAGACTTGCTTGAAGTTTCGATACCACATGTCATAAGGTAAATGGAGTAACACTGCCTGAAATTGTAGCATGTTGTACAATCTCCTCATCAAAAGCCCTTATGAGCAAATGCCCAGTAATGTAATTGATAGTATCAGTTGAACTTTAAGCTTGTTTACTGCGACACTGAGTTGAAAATTGCACGTAACTGACAAGTTTTGACACTATCAAGAGGCATGTCGCAGGTCTTCTTTTTCAAAAGCCATATAAGAGGAAGTTTGTCATCCCAAAGATCAAAACCTGTGGAGCTTTAGTGAAAATCATTTTGTTTTCAACATTTTGAGGTTGTCACATTCATGATTTTGGGTGTTTTTTAATTCAGTGTGTGTTCCTCCTTGATATTATGACTGCTTGAATCTCAACCTTCTTCCGATATCTCCGTCAAACATGTTCATACAGTGCTTACCAAAAAGTAGGTCGAAATTTGGGGTAATGGAGTCAAAGCGTGAATACTATGTTCTAGCGTGAAAGCGATACTTTGGAATACAAGTTGAATGAACGAATGCCTCGTTTTAAAGCTCCTTATATTCTCTGTAACCCTTAAATACAAAATCTTCATCTTTGGAAGTCGCGAACTGGCAGGCTGTGGAAGTTGATCATTTTTGTGTTTAATATAGTAGGTTATATTAATCTTTCTCCCTTGAGAGCGTCTATCTCAATAAGCAATCAAATATGAAACATTCTAATTAAAAAAAATCATAGGTAGGCTCTGTCAAGTTTGTTTAAGCTGAATGTACTATGTTTTATTGCACTTCCAGATAAACTCGGTCAAAATAATGTTTTCATGAATAGTTGTTGTGTTATAAGCGATTCATTATCCAAAGTCGCTCAACCCTGACAGCTCTCGAGTCAGTCGTTTAAAGGATAGTGAGTTTATGTTCTAGGGTTGTAAGATGGCTATAAATATCTTCAAAATTTTTCAAAATCAATTATCTGGCCTAAATACACTTATAGGGCCGATTTCACAATTTAACAAACCATTCTTCTGCACCAATAGGGTACGAGTACCAAACAGTCCGTCAAATATACCCAATCAGCCTCAAGATTTCTCCGTCAAAGTTTTGGCAGCAAATGGCATCAAGGTATTCAAAACAAAACACTGTAAAATGTGACGTGACAGCTTGCCATTAAAATGTTTTCAGTTTATTAAATATTATGAAATTATTTAAAACTGAGCCAAAATTTAAAAAAAATGTATGAGTAAAATCCATTTTTTTCTTCAGTTTAGCTGAAGGTTTCTCCATGTTTATTGCAACTTTTGTAATCCATATGTGATTATATTAACTCAATATCGCCTACTGTGTATTAATAGTTTATTCTACATTTGCAAACATGCACTTCCAAACCCAGTCAAATATTTGTGTTGCGTTTCAATACATTCATACACTTCTTTCCAATTCTTCAACGACATTTTGACAGTACTGGTCCGAAACTGTTTAAGATTTCAAGAGTCATACATACAATTGCCGTTTTTGTTTCGATTTCAGTGCATAATCAGTCGGTGATAGTACATGGTACACTGAACATAACCACGTATTAGGGGGTTAGTGCAGATTCAACCCGTACACGAGAGTATAATATGTAATTCTGCACAAGAAAGATCTTGGAGGGAGCACTTTTTATACGGAAAATCCATTGTTCACAAATAACACAAGCTTAAAACAACAAAACATATACGTTGGAGAAGGAGAATAGACCAAAGAAGAATTGACATTTGAAATTAGTGTTTCACAATGTTAGTGATGGGAGAATACATTTTCAATCAGTGGAATGCATTGGAACGTTTAAAAAATATGAACTGAATAATTTTTACGTTATCTAGACTGACAGACTGGAATATCTGCTCTGTTGCTGTACTTATATTTTTTGTGGTATTGTTGCATAAAGTAGTTTGTTCACGAACCAGTTCCTAGAATTGAAGGCAACTTAATGAAACGAACTAGAAAGCACATCACTATTTTATGTAATCCAAGGTGGGACAAATTGTCATTTCATCACACTAGTGATGGGAGAATCAAAAGCCTGAGATTTGCTTTGCTTCTGTGGCTCAGAGATATAGTGTTTTCTTCTGATAAAACTAGCGCAGTTTTTGTGTTTAAAATACTCTACCTTGACTAATACCGTTGATACTAAATTTGTTTCCAAAACAACATTAAACAAGTCTCATGTCATGTCGCGTGCAGTAATTTCAATGAAGCATATTTTTCGTTTCTTTGTCCTTTTCCGTGTTGCTATGATGAATCGTCGACAAAAAGAGCAAACAGAACGGCTGCATTCAGACGGAAATCAAAGCAGAAAACAGTAGACAACACCAGCCCGAGTTGCTTCAAGTTCTGTATGTTTCTACAATGAGTGAAAGACTACCACCAAAAAAACATGAATATATAAATTGGTTCTGTTATAAGAATTTGGAACATGCACCAGTCCAACACTGGTTTCACTGAAAGCAAACGCGATTGAACAGCTTGGTAATATTTAACAGTTTAAATTAGACCATACAAGGCTGATTTCAGTAGCTTCAAGTTGCCTCACATGTCAGATTTTCCTCTTTCCCCGCGACCCTGGAGCCTGTGGTTCTTGATATTTGCTTCAGAAAGGTTTTTCACTCGCAAGACTGTTGGTTATGTTTATATATTTTACTGGGGATGTTCAAATTTTTCAAATATTTTTTAGACATTTGGATCTTCTAGAAATTCATCGATATCGACAAAAAAAATCCATAAAACTCTTAAACCTGATTTCGACACATGTTCCTTGCGTGTAAGATGGAATTCTTATTTGACCGTTCCTTTTGGTACCTGAGAAGATTCACTTTCCCCACTTGCAGTGCGGTGAGTCATCCAGTTATTTTCGTTCACCGATCAGTATGAATAAAATGTACTATCACTATCCAAGTTGTGACTCAGTGACTCAGTTCTCTGGTCAGAACAACACTGTTGCCAGACTTAGCGATTCTTGTATGCTTCAGCGACTTTTTTTTCTCCACTGGTCCGCTGGCGATTTCCAGCAACATTTTGGCTACATTGGTAATTCCATTAAGGTTCACTCTTTTAACATTAAAGTCTCTTCAAGTGCCAAGTGCAGCTAGTGATTATGTTGCGCTATCTCCAGCCATCATACAATGGAAGTAGGAAGCTTCCTATATATATATATATATATATATATACGTTGAGTACCTTTTCCAGAACAATTGTTTTACTTTTAATAACAAAATGTTTTCACAAACACATGGTTGACCCATGGGCTCTGTGTTGTCCCCAATTTTGGTAGAATATGTAATGGATGACCTGCTTGATGTTGTTATTCAAGTATTGCCATACAATCTAATTTTCATAAAAAATTATGTGGACGATATTATCGTTTGTCTTCCTTATGATAGGGTGGATGATATTGTTGAAGCTTTTAACAGTTATGAACCCTACATCCGGTTCACCATCGAAAAAGAAGGTGACAATCAATCTGTTCCCTTTTGGGATTCAAGATTGATTCGCACCAATGACAATATATTACTGGTAGACTGGTACAGGAAACCAATTTCTTCCGGAAGGTTCCTGAACTTCAGGTCTTTCCACGAACTTAAAATAAAAATAAACCTGGTGAAACAAATGAAGAACAGGGTTATAAAAATCTCTGACAGTACTTTCCATCTTTCCAATTTAAGGAAGCTTTCAGTCTTATTTATCAACAATGGCTATCCGAAGTATTTGGTTAACAGAACCTTGTTCGGCTCTCCTCCGAATATTTTGCTAATGACGAATAACAATAGTGAAAATGACAACACCGTTCAGTCCAACCAGACACCCATGAATTCTTCAACCAATGAGAATAACAGCACTACAGTGGTTGCTTCTATCTCCAGAGTTAACTATGTTGTCTTGCCATACACCAAAGAACTAACACCAAAACTGATCAGGATGTATAATTCCTTTAATTGTCGTTTTGCTTGTAAATCAGTGCTCACAGTCAACAGTTTGTTGTACAAAATGAAGCATAAGGTTCAGTTGCTTGATTCAACCAACACTGTCTATCGCATTAATTGCAACAACTGTAATTTAGTTTATATAGGCCAAACTTCGAGGTCACTGAAAGGCAGATTACATCCAGAGAGATGTGCTTTGGCATCTCATATTAACAACACAGGTCACTCTATGAATTATGGCAGCATTGAGGTTCTTGATAAAGAAAACAGACTCTCAAAACGTTTATTTTTAGAAATGTCCCACATTTTCATGACAGATCATTGCATGAATAAAAAGGCTGATGTTAAGCAGCTCAGTGTCATTGATTCCTACCTGTTGAATTGCGAAAAGCTAGAACGGCTACATATCCAAATCGAACCAACATCGTCACAAAATTAGAATACATTTCCAATTGCTATCCTGGTAATTAAAATTTCTCACTCACAATCTTTAATATAAACTCACATAACCCATCTTTTCAAGGTTGTATCACTATCTCACATTCGTACACTCATGTGAACTACACATTTTTCCAAAACAAATTAATTCAGCATTTTAGTAATGTGGGTGGAGGTTTTCCGAGCGTCCCTCGCATACTTCATACCCAAATTGGACAATGAGATTTACAGTTTCAGGGTTCGCATTATCTTTCCGTGCCGTCTCCCTCTCCACATGTAGCGGAAGTAGGAGGTTGAAGACTGCATTCCGATTGTTTCCCTAAAATGTCTTCTCATGTTTAATAATTTTTAATATGTTCGGGTGTATTGATATTTTTAACATGTAGCGAAGGTATCTGTCGTTATCAACAAGCCCAATGTCTCCGTCCTTTTGTTTTTATACTTATTACAAGTTCTATCTTCTCTACGTTAGTTTTGAAACACCTTGTGGCTGCAACCTCAACGACGAATAAGTTGTTTGACAATTTAAATCTGTCCTGTT